GTGCACCAAGCGTCCTCAAGCTCTTAAAACGCGTGTCAGCTTTGATAAATTCTGGATAAAGTTTGAGATAAAGTGGCAAAACATCAATGTCGGCATTCCCCGTAGATCATTTCTCCCATTTTCGGCTTTCCCCGCAGTCCGGGGCAACGCCGTAAAAGTCACTTCTTTGATATTTTTAGTTTGTGCGCTTAACGGTATGCGAATTCATCAAATGCGCCTGGTATGTTTGAAAGGCAAAAGACTGGCCTCTCGAATGACGCCAACAAGAATAGCTTATGTTGTCTACCTTGCGTGCTACGGGCGTCAGAAAAAAAGTATTCGGCGTTCCCCCAACTTCCCCTACATCTCTTTAACTGTTTTCTCCCATGACGGCAGTGTAACTGGTAACTACTTAATCCACATTATCTCCAGAACAGCCGCCGGTAGGTTGTTACACTCAGCCCAACATTTCATATCAGTGCACGGCAGCCTGACGTCACTGGTATGACGTCATGAGTCATGGCTGGGCGACGACCTATACCGCTGCCGGCTGTCGTACGGAGACGACTGTGCTTTGATAGCGCCGAGACAAAATGGCCGACCGGCGACGGAGGTGACGGGCGCAGGATTGGATCCGTCAGATGAGGTATTGACAACGCGGAACACGCATCTCTGGTATTGATTTGTGTTGTTTGGTCGCTTTTCTTTCATTCGTTCATATGCCCAATAGGGAGACACCTACAAGAAAGCACGATAAGCTGAGTTGCTGTTAAGAAGTAGAGAAGAAACCTATCAACTTACAAGAAAACATGATACCTAAGCTGCATTGCTATCAACTTATTATAAGGGAAGCTTAAGCTTACTCGTAAACGAGGATGGTTCAACCCCTTAGGGTTTTTAATAAGGGGTTGAACCGACCCCTTAGTTCAGTTTCGACTCATGTCTAGTATTTTAGGAAACTTGCTGTTTGCTAAATCAACACTCTGAAGTTGAAATCAACACTGAAGTCATGCCTTCAGCATGACTTGTAAAACAGGCGTGGGTAGCAAATCCAGTCTTCCGTTTGCACTGACAAGTACCTACTTGGCCTGGGCGAAGTGGTATCTTTTTAAACCGACGACCAAACAGGGATTAAGTTGTCAGACACTTGAACATATCAAGTCAAACAGAATGGGAGTGTTTGCTGGCGAATCTGATAAAACTATGCAGGATTTGTTCGATAAACCATTGCGACTAAAGTTATCGAAGGTTTTCCAGCAAATACACATGTCAATCACGACAAGCCCTTAGAAACACGTTGTCCACATAACTACTAAAGCTTAGTGTAAGTGACGTCCATAAGAGTGCTGAAAAAGATACTCGGTACATGGTGATGAAGTACAGCATGGCTGACTAAGTTGCGATATTTGCTGTTTAGACTTCAAGCATAGTCGCGGGAGCCGGGGGGGGGGGGCAGTGGGGGCAGCTGCTTGCCCCCTCCCCCCCAACTCTGGGGCCGTGGGGGCGATGCCCCCACAGCTTTGAGACGGAATACCACACTTTTTTTGCAAATGTTTTTTTTTTTGTTGAAAAAGCCAAGGGATGAAAAATAAGTGGGCTAAAACCGGTGAGAAAACTAGATTTGTGGGTACCCTAGGTTGATCTCTATTATGGTGTCCCCCCCCCCCCAAGTCTGAACCTACAGGGTGATTTTTTTACAGGGCAAAAAGTTTTTAAGCCTAGAGATACCAAAACATATAACAAACGCCAAAAAAGTATATCCATGTGAAAGGAAATTGTTTGTCATTTTGTTTTCAGGACCTTTTAAAGACTTCTTGGGACTCATTCTGTTGTGAAGTTCCGTGAAAATTGCGCACAACAAAATGTTTTCCCCAAAATCGCCAATTACTCCAGGCTTGCGTGCATTAAAACTGTGCTCACTTCGAGCACGTTCTGTAAGCCTAAACGGAGCTCAAACTCAAAGTTTGTGTGTGCAAATGAAATGTCAGAATGTGCTTTTTACAAAGATATACATTTGCTGTCAGTTGATCTGTTTTCTGGTACCGTCATTGCTCTTTACTTTTTGCCCTGTATAAAAAATCACCCTGTAGTTCCCGCGCCCCTGACTTCAGGGAATTAAAACGCTGCGTTGGAGCGAAGTGGTATCAGGAAATACACTGTGCGCGGCAGGCTGACTGCAGATAAAACAGCCATCAGCCCCTTTCGACGAAAAATGATACCTATTTTAAAGGGCACATAATATTCATTGAGCATTGTCAAAACGAACTGCTTCCGGTGACTATAATTTGCGATGTTCGAAAGCTAGCTGAGTTGCAATATAATTTTCACAACCTGCACATTTCCAGGACAGCCAATTACAATGCCGTAATGTTCTTCCAATTGACCAGAGCTGGGCAAGTGCGTTCCTTTAGTGCGTTCCTGCGTTCTTCCGTACGTACGCACCGCCCTTTTTAGGAACGCAAGAACGCAGGAACGCAAAGTTTTTCAAAGGAACGCAAGTAAGAGGAACGCACCACCCGAAATTTTGAAGCGTTCCTGCGTTCTTGCGGAACCACTCGAAAAATTATATTGCTGCCAATGACCTCTGTGTCAAATGTTTGAATCTCGAATACGTGTGTTTGCCGGTAGAGGCGCCACTTGTCGGTCGAATCGAGGAAGGCTTGCTTAGATTTAGTGGTGATGTTTACTATTCGATTCGGTTTTAGGCATTAAATGTGTAAATATTTTTAGTGGTGATGTTTACTATTCGATTCAGTTTCAGGCATTAAATGTGTAAAGTAAATATGATAACTTTTACTAAGATACATCTTTTAACTTAACTATTGTTTTTAAGCAGGTCGTATTTTTGTTGAAAACCCTACGGATGATATTGGTAAAACGTATTTCAGATATTCGATTCGGAAAAGATATGTCGAGTTGCTTTTCTGCCCCACGTCGCCATTCTGGGTATTCTGTGATCGATTCGCCCCGTGTTTGGTTGGGCCCGCGCCGCGTGGTTCGGCGGTATTTTTGAGGGAGGAACGCAGGAACGCAGGAACGCTAACGCACCGAGCGAAAAAAAAATTGAGGAACGCTATTCTAGGAACGCACTAACCGCGGCCGGAGGAACGCAGGAACGCTAACGCACTACCGAAAATCGAGGAACGCGCCCAGCTCTGCAATTGACTATCACAGGCACTAAGCTAGGCAGGCTAGACAGACATTATTCGTTAGGCACCTTTCCTCGAAAAAAGCAGCAAATGAGAGTCCTGTTCACGGACTTTCAGTGACGCAATGTTAAACAATAAGTCATCACCATGTAATCACAGTTTTCCCCTAATATCCAGACGAGACCATCGGGCTGTTTAGCTTCTCTGATCAGGGGAAGCAGCCAAGCCAAACAGTGGAATCTTTTGGCCGTGCCGTGCCGCGGCGGCGGAGAGCCGACAGGGCCGCTGACGCTCTTCAGCGCTGTTTGTTCACCGGCTGGGGCCACGTCTGCTAAATGCCGGCCAAACAGCGAACAAATGGCGACCCGGGTGCGCTCGTAATGCCACAGGCCGGCATTCTGAGAATGGTGGCCCACGCTCGGGGCGGTAGCATTGGCGGGTGTCCCTGCGACCTGCTACCCCAGCGGCGGGGGCTGGTGAGCGAACGAAACATTGGCAGTCAGAGCGGAATCAGGAGCTAGTGCGAAACGCTGTGGCTGGTGGGTTGCATGCGATTCTTGAATAAAAAGAGCGAGGCGCAATGAATCCGGTTTGTATACTGCAAATCGCAGTTGTTATATTTTGCGGTTGGGAATTTAAATAAGCGTATTGTGAGCTTTCTCAGAGAGGAACAATGGTTGATTTGGCAGCGCGTGTCGCAATCCTGCCGTCCGGCTCTGCACCAAGGCACGGGCCACATCGCCATAATGAGGCGTACCACAAAAGCTGGGATTGGTTTCGGTTTCGGTTTGGAGTTTGACCCCAAGTGCGGCTGTCCGAGTCTAGCGGCGACGTTTTACACAACTCCCCGATGGTGCTGAAGTTCTCGAGTCCCCATCGTAGAAAGAGAAACGAACGCAGTGAGAATGGATAGAGACCAGACGCCCCCTCCCCTCCCCCCAACGGTCTCCTTCAGAGAACTGATCAGTCCCAGCCGAGACCAGTTGGTGGGGCCCGTTCCGCTCCTCTTTGTTCCCTGACAGGCTCCGCGGATAAGCCAAGTCGCTTCAGCAGCGTTCGGCGTAGCGGTTTTGTAATTTCGTAGTAGTTTTGTGTGTAAATTATAATCGCATTACGGCTTCGGGATCTGATGGGATGAAGAAAACTCCAGCTACCGGAAAAGGTGAAATCTAGGCCGTTTCACAGTTCAAAAGAACTGGAAGGAAATGTGAACCACGATACGGTGGAGGTGTTGTATTTTGTGTTCATGAAAGATCAACTATTGCGTGTCATTTGACTTTTATCACTCTTCAAAATGTCATGACCTGGGCTAATGTCAAAACGGTGTTGTCAGAGCTGTCACTGAATGGTTTGCTGAAAGTGGTCAGCTTACTGTGTGTTTTATGAATCATTGAATCATCGGGATTGAATATATACCTAACGAATAGATAATGTCATTATTCATTAATTTAATGATATGTTTTTATTCAAGGTTATCCGCTTCCTTTCACCTATGAGGGGAGAAACGGGTCGATCGTGAGAGAATGTCGGATTCCCGTACCCCACAAACGAGTCTGACTGCCAGAACTGTCAAAGCTGTCGGGACGGGTTCGAGGGGGAGGGGGAGGGGGAGGGACGGGATGCGGGCTGGGGAGACTGCTGGCAGCCCAGGCCACCCCAGCATGCAGCCAAGCTGGCGAGCCAGCCCGCGGTCCCCGGCATGACCGCGACCCAACCAAGGTCACTCCAACTTCATTCATAAACACGCAACCGGGCCGCCGGCGACGCATCGCCGGTGCTGACCCGACACTGCGCGTCGCCATGGCAACGGCCGCCGCGCAGCGTGACGTCACGGTCACGTGACTCGTCGATCCGTGGAACTGTTTGCGGCGGCGGCGGCGGCGCTGGGCCGGCCGGCTAGTGGGAACGCCGCTCGCCGAGGGGCCAGCGCCCGACCGGCGGCCGCCATCGCGCTCGGCGGCCGGCGAGCGTCAGTCGCGCTCCGACCGCCGCTGTGAGAGGAGTGGCCGAGCAATGTCTGAGTGAGAGCCGCGGAGCGGAGAGTGCCGCAGACAGACGCCTGGCGAAGGCGCGCCTGTGAACCAGCAGTGCCCGGCGGGGACATGCTATCGCTGCCCGCGCTGGCTGGTCGATTCGCCATGGAGCGGGGAGGAGGCGGCTGCGACGAGCCGGGCCTGTGCTCGGGGGAGCTGCTCTCTCCGTACATATCCAGTGCTGGCAGCGGCTGGCCGGACGCCGAGCCCAGCCACTGTGTCGGCGGCAACTACGTGCTGAGCCGTGCGCCGGATGCCACGGATGGACCTCGCTACCTCTTCGACCACATCCCGCCGCGGCTGGCGCCGTCGCGCGGCGAGGATGACCTGTTTGACCTGCCCGCCGCCGGTGGTGAGGACGATCTCTGGCCGCCGACCTCCGAGGACAGGCTGTGTCGACCGGCGCCCGAGCGGCTGGGAGCGGCACCTGTGTCGTGTCCGGCGGCTGTGACCCAGCCGGGACCGCCGTCAGTCAGTGTCAGTATCGGCGGCTGCTCGCGGCTCGAGCCCGCGTCGGTCTCGACGGCGGCGGCGACGGAGCGGCGGCCGCTGCACCACAGCGGCGGCGGTCTGTGTCGGACCGCGGAGCCTCCCCAGCCGGCCGCTGACCCGGAGGGCTGTATTCCGGCCATCGAGATCGGTCTCCGGCCCAGCTGTCCCTCGTCGTGTTCGGGCAGCATCAAACTGCAGATCAGTGTGCCGTGCAACCGCGCCACGACGGTCAGTGTGCGCAGCCACCCGCCGCACGGAGCGCACGCTGCGCCCGTACCTCACGCTGCGCACCTCGCCTCGCACGCGGCGTCGTGCGGCCCGTGCGCAGCACCCGCCTCGCCGCTGCCCGCCTCGCCATGCCGGCCGCCGCACCCCCTGCGCTCCTGCTGCGGCCCGTCGTTCGGCCCCATCGCCGTCGCCGTCGACGCGACGCCGCCCGAGGCCGCCGGCGACGATGAGATGGCGGTGCTGGCCAAGGCGACGGCCTACCTCAGGGAAAGTGGGTGGTACTACGGCATGCTTAGCTGGCAGGAAGCTCAGGAGTATCTGCGCGGCGCCAACAGGGGTACGTTCCTCGCGAGGGACTCGTTCGACCGTCGGTTTTTGTTCGCGTTGACTGTGCAGACGGCCAAGGGGCCGACCAGTGTGCGTGTGCAATTCCTTCAGGGCCGGTTCCGATTGGACGCGCCGGCCACCTTGTTACCCGGCATGCCGACGTTTCCCGATGTGAACTCTTTGGTGGAACACTACGCGCGGCACGGTCACGTGCTGTACGACCAGAAAGGCCGGCCACTGCTGAAGATGCGCCTGGTGCGGCCGCTGCGCCAGGAGCCTCCCAGCCTCCAGCACTGGTGTCGGCTGGCGCTAAACGCAGCTGGCCTGGAGAAGCCGCCCCTGCTGCCCGACAAGCTGCAGAAGTACGTGCAGGAGTACCCCTTCAGCAGGTAGCCCCTCGTGGGCAGTTCCTCGCTCAGACCAAATATAGCGCTAGTGTTTGTATCTGGCGCCCTTGTGTCGAGCGTCAGTCATTCTGTGAAGACCCAAATGTACCATTGGTGTATGTGACAATATCGATATCCCCGCATTTTCTATGAGCCTGACAGAAAAATATAATATTTTGTACTACTGTGCGTACGCTGTCTTCAGGTGGTAGATTTATTTATGACAGTGGAATGTGGAGGGTTTTATTCCGAAGCGGTAACATGACTGGGACGGATGTCTGCTTTATTGGTTTCAGTTAGGCCTCAGGAATCGCGTCAATAGGCTTACGGTAGTCAATTCATGTAGTTCTGTCGACTAGTTAGTCACAGCTCACTAGTCAGTAGTCACCGAATGTATACGATCGCTAGCGGTCTTTCCCAACCGGTGTTTCCAGCGGCTTTTACCAGTTCGGCGACCCAGAATCAGCTGGCGAAGCCGATCGCTCATTGCTTTTTCCGTATTCTGGGTCACGAGCTCTTCGCTGGAAAACCGCTGACAACAGCTTTCCAACATCTGTTTAGGTCAAGGGTTCGAAACCCGGCCGCGGTCGGAATTTTAGCGGTAACGTGTCTCGGGAGCGCCCGTGCCGGCCGTCAGGCGGCCAGCTGCGGCGCTCTGCGGCCTGCGCTGCTCCGTGCCGCTATATTTAACCTCTTCACGTGCCGGGGCGGCGGCGGCGGCGGCGGCAGTGCGGCGACCTTCCGTTGTGAATCAGCGGCCAGCGCTGCGCGGCGCGTGGGGCTGGCCCTCCCTCCAGCCGGAGCACCGTCCGCGTACGGCCGGCCGCCGCCGCCCGGACCAGGTGCGCCGGCCGCCATTCTGAGAACGTAGCGGTCACGCTTTTCGCGCCCTGTGTCGCCAGCCAGTTTCCACCAGTATGTCACAACTCCGCGCGCTCGGCTGCGCGGTTCGGCTCGGAACGCCGGCGGTGCAGCAGGCGCTGGCAGCGGGCGCGCCGCCTTCAGGTCGGCGGGCCCGTTCTCGGAACGCGCGTTCACTCAATCGACCCTGTCGCCTGTCGGCGACTGTGTAGCCCGAAGGCCGCGAAGGCCAACGCCCGAACCGGCCCAGTACGGGCCGTAGGTCGGGGTGGCACTGCGGCATCGCAGGAGTAGTTCGTGCCAGCTACGGCGTCGCCCGCGTCGCTTTAGTGCCTGTCGACCGGCGGCCGCCGCGCCCGTCGACCCCGACCCGCCGTCACAGCCGTAAACCGGCACATCTGCCCTGTCCTCGCTCAGCCCGCGACGTTCGGGGTCACGCGCCACCCCTCCCCCACTCCCCGCCCTCCGCCGCCACCCCCGCCGACGCTGCCGTCCCCCCTCCCCCGCCCCTCCCTCCGCCCCCGCCGCGGCGCTCGTCGATCAGCCCCGCCCCAAATCCCGGTCAATCTACTGAGGACCATGCGGAAGCTTGCGTCGCGCCGGGGCCGGGGTGTACAAACACTCACAGCTACGACGAGGACCAACGGTAATGCATGTGGCAGCCCCCAAGGGATGCGGATGGGGGGCATTTATCGGAAAATGGTGAGTGGTGCACGCATAGGCGCGGGAGCCGGGGGGGCAGTGGGGGCAGCTTGCCCCCCCAACTCTGGGGCCGTGGGGGCGGTGCCCCCACAGCTTTGAGACGGAATACCACACTTTTTTTGCAAATGTTTTCTTTTTTTGTTGAAAAAGCCGAGGGGTGAAAAATAAGTGGCCTAAAACCGGTGAGAAAACTAGATTTGGGGGTACCCTAGGTTGATCTCTATTATGGTGTGCCCCCCCAGTCGGAAAGAAGTTCCCGCGCCCCTGGGTGCACGTCCCATACGAGAGACGCGACATAGTTCTCAGGGGAGACAGGAAGGCAACTCCCTGAGGAATAGAAGATTGGAGGAGAAAAAGGAGGGAAATGAGGCAGAGGGGGAGGAAAAGAAGGGGATGGAAACAGATGGAGCAAGAGAGAACGGAGTAAAAGAGAGATAAAAGAGAGAAGGAAAGGGAGAGGGCCGAGGGAGAGAGAGAGAGAGAGAGAGAGAGAGAGAGAGAGAGAGAGAGAGAGAGAGAGAGAGAGAGAGAGAGAGAGGAGGGAGACAGGCTGACGAACCAAGAGACAAGTGAGACACTAGACAGAAATACAGATAGATGACAAATGGCCGCAGGAGCCCTCGAGAAGACAGGCTGGAAGGAAGTCAATGATGTGCAGCTCGACTGTAGATAAAACTACTACACAAACTTAATCTCCGGGCAACCCGAGGAATACAATATAAAACGCTGGAGGTTTCGATAAATGGAAGACGTTTGAAACTGACAGGTTTATATATATATATATATATATATATATATATATATATATATATATATATATATATATATATATATGTGTGTGTGTGTGTGTGTGTGTGTGTTGCAGGCACTTTAGAAAATCAGTCATTTTGTAAAATGCCTAGGCATTTTACAAAAAGACGGCTGTTTGAAAAATGACTGAACGCAACCAGGCTTTTTTCAAAATGGCTAGCCATTTTACAAAATGACTAGGCATTTTGCAAAATGCCTGACCAGCATGGAACGTAGATCCCACTACAGATAATATGGCCAACAGTTTTTGGACGTCTTCCTATACCCTATAGGTATGTACGTGTTCAGCCTGTAGCTGATCGATTTGAAGCTCTGTGATGACGACAATGCTGAGTAACGACCAGGTTGAGTTGCAGACTCGGCTGTAGCATAAAGCATTGTTTAGTTAACGCTGTAAAAACTCCCAAGTACAGTCCACAGCAGAAGTAATGTGGGGTTTCAGTCATGGGTATGTTCTGCTTCTGAAGCTTAGGAACGATTTACCAGACTACAATGAAACTTTGAATGTAGCTTATATGTATCGTCACCCTTGCAGCTGCAACTTTAGCTACTGACATCTTCTTTTCGATCACTCCGTATTAAACAATCGCCAGTCAAAGCCAACCGTTGAGATTGGTAAAACCCTACATTACTTTAGCGGTGGGCTGCAACGCCGTTCATGTTCTGCCTGAAAATAGACCTAACAAAACCAGCCGGAGAGCGGCCCTAGTCAATAGGCAGGCCCGGTTGATGATGTATTATCAGGTCGCTTGGCGTAGGACGAGAGCGTTGGTTTCAGAGGACACTAACGCCAAAAGTGTGTGGGATCGAATCCTCGCGACCTCTGATAGTTTTACAGATACAGGCCGGCGTAGGGCCAGTCGTTTGTTGACGCTCCAGATCGATCATTTTAAATCCAGCAGCGTCGCTGACGTGGGGGTTGGAAATGTCGCGGGCCTGCACTTCTCAAAACAGTGGTAGGTATGGACTTCCCACTGCCGGACTCCTCTGGTCATAATGCTGGACTCCTCGGTCCACCTACACGCTACCAAAACGTATATAATTAGGTACTCGTATCTACAACACGCTGCTCAGTCATTTTGTAAAATGGCTAGGTATTTTGTAAAATGCCTAGGCATTTTGCAAAATGACTGGAGAGTCAGTCATTTTGTAAAATGCCTAGGCTTTTTGCAAAAAGCCTGGAAAATCAGGCATTTTGCAAAATGCCTAGGCATTTTACAAAATGACTGATTTTCTAAAGTGCCTGCAACATATATATATATTAATTTATATAAATGAAGGACTCGTATATCAAGCCGAGCGGCGGCCTCTGTGTATTGATCTACACATAAGCAAATGTCAAATTACCGGGTACCATTTCATTTACCACACCAGTGCAGTGGTACAGTTTCTCGTTCTCAAATTCTAGTTAGCAGGTTGCGAGAACTGCTCCGGCCGCGGCTTCACTAATGACAAGATCCTGTTGGAAACTTCAGACTTCCCGCGAGGCCAGTTTCAATCACAGCCCCAGTTCGCGGTAGCAGGCACGTGCTTAATTTGCCAGCGGGCCTTTGTACGTCTGAAATAGTGCCGTGTACGAAATTATGTGTCCGAGTGATGCAATGCTGATTTGGTGAGCACACATTCATCAAGGGTGCGTCGTAGCGCCCGCCCGCACTCAAGGTCAGTGACATGTCGTTAGGGCATGAGTTCGGGCGCGCCAATTTGGATCCAATCAAAAACAGGTAACCGATGGCTGAGATTTACCATTAGCGGCTTATCTAGCCCGATGTACAACACTCGGCCGGTGCTCCCGGCTAGAAATGGAAGGTAATAATGCCTGCCACAACAAAATTTCCAGGCACGTAATATGCCTAACTGGCTACCCGATCGTAGATAGAAATACATGGATGTGTGAAAATTATAAACGGAATGGCTCAACCCAGGATTTTCATCGTCATATAGAACAGGAAAACTACACATGATTGATTGAACCAGCAATAGACTGTGTAGTGTGTAAATTAACATTAGGGGAAGCCGGGGGAAGCCCGGCATAGTAAGCTCTTTTTCATTTTTATTACATACCATACGTGATGTATAAAATGTTGATATCCTGCTAGCTAGCTAAGTCCATTGGCCGTGTTTTCCCAAAAATTCGGTTTCGTGGAATAAGTATAAGGTTGAGAAAATCGAGTTTTAAAAAAGTGTTGATTTTTCTGGGGTAAGCCCAGCATAGGGGTAACGCCGGCCACCTCCCAGCGCTTTACAACGAGTTGATGAAACCATTATGTGTTTTCCAAATATTAACGGAAAGTGAAATATTAAGGTACTGATTAGCTCTGGACATCTTAGAGTTTATGTCACTACTGGTATTTTAGCTAGCGTCTACTACATATACAGTACAGGTCGATGAAAATCGTGATGCAAAATTGACAAAAAATGTGTATTTCAAAATTCCTTAAAATTTATTTTTCTTTTTACCTTAATGCATCATATTGCATATCATTCGACTCGGCTGATGACGAAGAACACAACGACACCATTTTTGAAGCTCTAGCTTCATTGTCTGTCGCGTTATCTGCAAAAACGTAGTTTGACCCTAGTTGACCTTAAGTGACATGACTGGCTTTGTCTATGATAACATGTTTATTTTCGAAATTTATCTTTGATCTAGGTGTAAACGAAACCTGCTCAGTACCTATTATCTCATGGAAAACAGTGGTTTAGTGGCATTGCTCTCGGTTGGGGGTAAGCTTGGCCACTCGCCCGGGGTTACCCCAATGTGCTAATTTTTATTTTAGAACAGCGATATTCGAAAAAAATGTCATACTTAAGCC